ATTCTTGAGGGAATGCTGCTTGTCCTGTAGAAATCAGAGACAAACTGTATTTTTGTGTCTTTCAGTAACAAAGCATTATGATTTTTAAACTTGTTAACACTTAGAAAACATATAATCATAAGTGGTTTTAAAAAGAAAGGTAATAACTTACCTATATTTTAAAACACTCATTTATTAAAATCATAATGCTTTAAGAGGAAAAATATTTCTTATTCTGTTCCTTGTATTTCATCATATCCATTTATCTACATAGTTCTAGGAAGCTACTATATTAAATTTAACAAATTTAACAAATTAGATTTAAATTCACAGTTAGTTTACAAGATTTTTGGGTTTTGTTATTGTTAACTTTTAATTTCAAAATGCCAAGAGCTCAAATAGATGATTCTGTTCATACATCTCTAGCATGCTAATAATAGTCATAGTATTAGCATTTAGTCAGCTCTACTCTGTATCAAGTTAGTGGTTTTCTCATTCAGTCCTTACAACAATCCTATGAAGCAGGCGTGGTTATTACCCACTTACACCTCATGTCAATACTCAGAGATGTGGAGCACCTGCCCAGGTCACCCAGCTAGAATGTGCTGGAGCTGGGATTAGAACCTCAACCTTCCAACATCAGAAGAGAAGCCCTCACTACATGACATCCACTGTAGGTCAGTGGGATCTCAGAGGCCCACACACCAAGAACAGGTTGTCTCGGGAATCCCCATTCAGTTAGTTAGCACTTGGCACACATGAAGAGTAATTCTGGACCCCAACTTGCAAGTAAGTTAGATTCACCCTGAAAATCAAGTTGTAGCATTTTTTTTTTTTTTTTGTCTTTTTGCCAGACAAAAGATAGCTCCTTTAGAAAAATGGGTTTTACTCAGTGGCACAAATTGCAGCAGCAATTGCCAGTAGTTCAGGATGAGTAATTGTGGTCAGTAGGCCATTCTTGTGTGCCAGTAACAGAGAAACACAATAGGTTATCATCATTTTTTTACATATAACCATAGCTATTAAAAACACATATTGAGGCTTGGCACCTGAGCTTAAGCAGCTAAGGCCCCAGCGACGTACACCAGAGCTGGCGTGTTTGAATCCAGCCCGGGCCTGCCAAACAATGACAACTATAATCCAAAAAAAATAGCTGGGTGTTGTGGCAGGCGCCTATGGTCCCAGCTACTTGGGAGGCTGAGGCAGGAGAATCACTTGCACCCAGGAGTTGGAGATTGCTGTGAGCTGCGATGCCACCCTACCCAGGGTGACAGCTTGAGGCTCTGTCTCAAAACAAACAAACAAACAAACAAAAACCACATATTGATTAAACCCTAGTGACCTTAGTGAACATACTGCCTATAAGAGCCAATGTTGTCAGCATTCTAGAACGCCTTGACATACCGAGTCCATCTCCCTTCTCCAGTTCACAGGGCTGTGACATTGAACTCCAGCGTGGAAGCATTATCTGCGATTCCTCTTCCCCTCTCTTCCATGCTAGCTTCTGAGTTATCATAATAATTTGAGTACTTGGCATAAAGGCACACACTGTGAGCTGTGATCATTTTTTGAACTTGTATTGATACAAGTTCAAAAGTTATTGTATTGATACAAGTTCAAGATATTTGAACTTGAATTTGGATAATTTTTTGAACTTGTATTCATGAGCTTCTGGGTTCTGCTAATTTCAAGAACCTAGACTCAGCTTTCATCTACCCTTCTTCCACGAATCTTTCTAGTATGACACTGCCTCTGTCTTTTACAGTCTGGATTTTTGCAGTATATTTCTTAATTGTTTCCTATGGTCCCACTGAGAAATCAAGAGTATAGGCAGCGTCCTGATACTGTGTTTCTCCCCCTTCTCCTGGTGTGATCTTTCCCTAATGCCCCCCGCCTGCTGCAACCTCTCACTAATGTCACCCCAGCTGGTGTGACCAGGTATGACCCCACATTAACACCACCCACCTCTTCTTCTCTCCTCACCTCTGTCCCTCAATTTACTGAGTCTCCTGTCTCATATCATAAAGGAAGTAAAGCAGATTTGTTTTTATTGGGCCCAATAGCTTTTTTTATCAACTGTCTACAAACTTTGGCCAAGGTCATTTTTTCTCCCTTCCTAAACACTTTTAACTAGTTTAACTGAATAGGACATTTTTATATATAGAGGATCTTTCATGAACAGTACACAATAACCATTTCTCTCGCCCTGTCTCTTCCAAGTTTATTCTGTGATGCTGTGTTTTTAACATTTTCCGCAGAGACCTACTGGCACAGAGCACAGGTTATCCAGGATATGGCAAACACGTGCAAGCAAATACTTCTTTAAAACTAACTTCTAGGAAACAAAGAAAATTATATCCCTCTGCCTTATTTTCTATTTTCATATTCTTTCTATGTGTTTGTTTGATTTATCATTTTATGGATTGTTCAATGAATATAATTTTATTTCAGAAAGTTCAGGTAAAGTGAAGATCCTTTTTTACTTCTAATACCCATAGAATAACTCAGATTCTAGAAGGAAAAGCCCCCTAGATCTCATTCAGTGTGTCTGTGTCTCTGCATTTATGTGTGTTACACACAATCACAGTCATGACTTGGGTATGTTCTATCTAGTTCAGATGATTTTAAAGTATCCTGAAAAGGCTTGAAACCTCTTGTAGTCATTCTGGGATTTAGATCATTTCTTATGTGGATTGAAGCAAAATTGCACAATTTATTTCATATCAACTTCTGGTGCAGGTGCGTGCACACAAGTGCACCTGTTACTACATAGTGCCTGCTTAATCTTAAATAGTAGGACAGTGAGATATTTGATACTTTGTTTCTTTAGACATAGATGCAAAAATTCAAAGTCAATGTGGGTGTTTGTTTATCAACTGTCAAAGAAGCATAAGCAGCTTTTGCATGGTTGCATAGCAGCGAGCTGCCAGCTAGCAGCTCAATTTTGGCCGGCACCACCTTCTCAGGGCAATGTCTGTGCTAGGACCTGAGTATCTTATTTTTCCCTCATCAGTTGCATTTAACTAGATGAAAAATGTAAATGCTCAAACTATTTATGACATTCGTGTAAATCAGTAAGCACACAACAAGCAAAGACGGTTTCACTTCAGCCAAGTGTTCAAGAGACTTATGCCACTTGGTTTTTGGTTCAGTTAGAAAAAACTCACAAACGCCACGTGTGAATTGAGAGAAATATATTGCGAAAGAATATGTAATGACAGACTTTCAAAATATTTTTACCTGTCTTGGAATGAAAGGTCCCTATGGCATTTTATTCTTTGTTCAGACTTGTATAGATTTGATGTCTGGACAGGTTTTCAGGAATGCCTCATAGCAGGAGAACATAATGGCCAGGAAGATGTTCTCTGGAGTCAGACATAGGTCAAACTACAGCTCTTGGGCAAGTTCTTTGCTGTCTCTGGGCATGGGCTTATTCCTACTGCCTACCTCAGAGGATTGTTGTAAACATTAAGTGAGGTTATGCCCTCCGCACAGTGCCCAGCATATAGGAAGGATCCCAAAATGCTAGGTGTCATTGCATCGCCACTGTCTTTGTCTTCATCACTGCCATGATGACTGTGTATGTGTATGGAAGGGGAACTGCCTTTATGGGGCCTCACCTGTGTGTGATTGTGATGACAGCTCCAGGCCTCCTCTCCTGGTGAGGTCCAGGGGCTGTGGGAGAAGGCTACTGGCCTTGGATTTATAGTCCACACGTCATTTTCCTTCTTCAACACGCTCCCATACATTTTGCATTCCTCTTCACACTTAATTTTAAGCATTTTCTTTTTCTCCCTATACTTGTGCGGAGAAAAAGAAGCAGTGAGATGTTGCTTTTGCAACATACAACAGAACCTGGGATACGTACGGCTACTCTTATTTCTGCATCCAGAGATCACGCACACCTAACCCAACCATGTGAAACGTATTCGGAAGAAATTCAGTCAAATTAAAGGCCTGATCTAGGCAGGCTTATGGAGTCAAAGGAAGAAAGACTTTTACCTTGTTTGTGGTGAAAAGAAAAGAAGTAAAGGCCTTTTAAAAAAGCATTTCTACTGATTTAAGCAAATCCGGGTGGGCATGTCTGAGTAGCCATTGATGCTGCACTTTGTCCCATATGATTGAGACTTCTAAAGAAGACCAAAAAAGTTCATTATTATGTGCTTTTCAGAGGTTTTGCATATTATGACTGGTTGAATAAAGGGCTTCACATTTGTTTACTCAAACACAGTAGATGACAGCTGAAGGAATATGTATACATGCAAATGAGCATTTTCTCTTCTAACTGGTCACTTCATGCAGTCGTGACTTCACTGGTCAAGATATATTTCCAAGTCTTTTGAGTGGACCCTCAGCAATAACGAACATTGGTCCTATGAGGGTGGATTTGGTTCTTCAGAAATTTCCATTCAGAACTAACTTGTAAATAAGATGAATAACAAATCTAGATAGCATTTTGGATGCAAATAGATGATGTTATATAAAATAATAAGGCTGCTTTTATGTTGACTGTTTTCTTTTTTAACCGATTTCTAAAACGTTTCGGAAATGGTGGCAGCCTTGCAATGACATTTTAGCCTCTAGAAGTGGTTCCTTTGAAGGAAAAATGCTCCATGAGATGTATACATTCTGTTCTGTTTAAAACTCAGTTGTATACTCTTATGATTGTGCTTAATGTACAATTTATCCTTTACACTGAGTTTTTAATGGGTTTGAGACTATGTTTCTATTGAACAATGTAGTGAAAATAACTGCGAACACAATGTTCAGCAGAGTTTGTTAACAGTATTCAGCTATTTCTATTGAGGTTTTGGGTTTTTGTTTTTTTTTTTTTACTTCTGATGGTTTTTCAAAGCTAAGTATTTATATAATTCCTGATTAGTAAGTGACAGATCCCAACTTGGGGCCGCGTGTAGAATCTGTAAAAGCTCATGCCACGTGGCCATGTTTACTACCCACACTGCAGCAGCCCCCGTCTCGCCTCTGTCCACTGCCACCAACACCCCTGATTTGTTTTCCAGCCATGGCGAGCCGGCAGGTGGACATCGCGACACAGGGCTGGTTCATTGGCCTCATGTGCGCTGTCGCTCTCCTCATCTTGATTTTGCTGATTGTTTGCTTTATCAGAAGAAACAAGGGTGGTAAATATCCAGGTAAGAAAGAAAGATTACAATTGCATCCTAATGCTACGTAATCACTCGTTAAACTAAAAAGAAATCACGAAGGTGGTCATGCAGATCGCAATAGTACATTTTCCCACAAACCTAAATTCAGACGTTCTCCTCAAATAATTCTTGAATCCCTCTTTATGTAATGGCAACCTAGATGTTGTCAGGGCTCATAAGGCCTTTGAAGGGTAAATCAATCTGTTCTCTGAAGAAATGACTAAGTCTACTTCTTTCGGCTCCACGTAAGTTAGGGTTGTTGCAGTAGCACGTAAAACCAGTTGGCAAGGAGAGGGTCGGGGGAAGGTGCAAGAAGTTTTCCAGAAGAAGTCACGTGTGGACCAAGTTGCAGTATTGGATGTGCTTAGGGACATTGCTTTCCCTATCGGGTTAATAGTTTCCTCAATTCAGTGAGTCCAGTGAATTTGTCTTTTCTTTACTGACCATTTTCCCTTCAATTACAAGACAAAAAACCTGCAAAAAAAAAAAAGAGTTGCAAAACCAGTTTGTAATAATTAATATAGCTAATCTATAAATTAGTAGAGTAGGGGCAAAATCTTAGCAACTTAAAAATTGTTCCTTCAAGAGCAGAGAGGGAGAAGGAGGGGGTCTTGGTGTGTGCCACACCTTTGGGGGGCAATACACAATTGTAAGAGGGACTTTACCTAACCAATGCAATCAGTGTAACCTGGTTTCTTGTACCCTCAGTGAATCCCCAACAATTAAAAAAGAAATTATTCCTTCATCAGATGAATAAGAAACTAAAGTCACCGTTACATGTTAATGAATGCTCATTTCTATTAGGTCACCTCAAAATGACAAAATCATCCAATACCACATCCATCCACATGATGGTCATGCAGCATCTTCCATACTCCATGGCGACTTCTTTCTCATTGCTGTCTACCTCAAAGAGTGTGCCCTCAAATAAACTTTGAAGAAGGAAGCAGAGGATCGATAGCTAATAATGTCATTTTGAAATTTTTAGTTAAAGAAAAGGAAGACGCCCGTGCTGACCCTGAGATCCAGCCCATGAAGGAAGATGATGGAACTTTTGGAGAATACAGGTGAGCCTCAGCTTCCATCCGCTGTTCATCTCCTACGCCCTGCACACTCTCCTCAGAGTAGGAAGTGCTAGCAAGGGGTTAAACCTTTTTACTTGCCATTAAAAAATAAATTTCCATTTTAGTCGTAAGATTTTCCCGGGGTCCATGCTGTATTGGTCACCTAGCAAAAGCTAGTGTGTTACAATGAGAATTAAAACAACAAAGCCTGCATTGTAAAGTTAACGATATCTGTTGTTTTCTAAGCATACTTTTATAACCAGTATTACAGACTTTTTAATCTCTCAGATATGAAGCTAGTTTTTCTTAAACAATATCTATACCCCTGCCTGTTCATCATGAAATGACTAGATTGTTTCAGAAGCTGTTCATTATTAAGAAGTATCATAGCTCTCTAGGCGGTATGTTAATTCACAATCTTGGCTTGACACTATCATTAAGGAAAACTTTTAACATGACCTATGGGCAAATTTTAAAGTCTTCTCTTTAAACAAAGATATGCTGGCCTAGGTGTTATAAGTCTTTTCAAAGAGAAAGTAATTATTTTAGATATGTTTTAAAATAGAAACATAACACATACTTATTTATTTAAAAGATTGGTATATGGTATTCTAAAAGTATACTTTTATTTATAAAATATCTTTGCAACTTGATTTGTTCTTTTTATAAACCTCCTGCTTATGTAAATATTTTAAATATACACTGAACCCATACTGAGACTTTTTTTCCAAAAGAAAAGGCTTTTAGGTGAAATAAAGCATTTCACTACTGTGATTGCCAGGTGACAAATTTGTATAGAAGATAGTTGTGTTAAGCTTCACTTGTCTCTAAAGCTCATTTTTGGTTTTTCCATGTCAATACCATGGAATATCATATTTTAATGAGAAATAATGGCCAAGGATGAGAAACATGGAACTGATTTGAAAAACAATATATTTTCAACAAAATTGGTTTCATACCCATTTCCATGCAGCTGTAAGTGTTTTGCCTTTATTGCTTCAGCCACTAAGTTTTTATATTTGGATCATCTCTTCAAGAGAGATAACTATGATTTGTAAATATTCTCAGAATTTCTGTATCTCTTCATATGGAAAAATACCTAGTGAGGGTTGTCTTG